CTAAATAGGGTTACTCATAAAAGAATGAAGTTCAGACAGGACTATACAGAATGTATTGTAACGCTGTCGTGGTGTTTTGATTTTTTGACAATGTTGTGAGGATAAAAATAGTTATCCCTAGTTTGTATCTGTAAATAGCATGGCGGGAAATTCAAGTTGGTTGACCCGACGCTAAGAAGAGGCCCAGGTAAAGAGGCCAGGTTCATTCACCCGGGAATTTGTCAGCATTAGGGATTCCCTGAAAGAAGGGAGCAGGTCAACCTGTACCAAATCCATAGACAGTTGACGACAAACCTTCACATCAAGGAGTAATAAAGAGAACTAGATCGTTAGTTGGAACTCAACCTCAAACTTCATTTCCCAGATAATTCGTATCAAGCATCATTTGTTATTTTTATCATTTAATAAATTATTTGTACCGTACATTGTTTAATATTTGGTTAGAATGAACTTAGTTTTGGCCCTTCTGGCTAGAGAAAATATATCTCCTTTTTTCATATACTACAGTACGTATTGCTACTTTTTTATTCAAAGTTCCCTGTAGTCATATAATCTTTTTTTTGTCAAATAATTCTGTTTATCCTTAAAGACTATATTCAAGGCACAAACACCAATTTGATGCTTGTATTTTCATATTCAAAAGTTTCAAATTATCTTTACAGTCCCATCCTTTGAGGGTGACCCTGTAGTTATTCATCCTAAAATCTAAATAAATTCTTTTTACATACTGTAACGCAGGTGCAATTGTCACAATATTCCAAATGCGTTTTCTTTTTTCTTGCCAAGATAATAAAAAATAAGTAAAGCTGGAAAACCTTGTTGATTTTGATGCTGAAGTTTTTAAAAATGTCAAGAAATTCAGGTAACAAGCAAAAGTAATGGTTAAGCTTTTGGCTAAAACCTATCTGTTATTTTTTATTTGCAACAAGCTTTGATATTTTTGGCTTATTTTCATATGAAAATTATAGAAACTGAAAGAAAAAGATCCTTCTTTAATACATTTATAGATACAGATCGTTCCATATCATAGTGGATTATCTCTGCAATACGCACAAAATATTGGCCTTATTTAATTTTCCAAATGATGTATTCGTCTTAAGTTTTCTTATATGAATATCTACAAATTTAAGTGTACTTATTTAATTGTAATACACTATTAAAAGAGTTTTTAAACCATCAGTAGGTGAAAACAGTGTAATTATTTACAACTACATTACAGGGAACTTAAAGTGATTTTACTTTACCACGGCTTCCTTTGGACAATTTCGGTCTTTGAACCAGTGATTAAGTAAATAATTTTAAATTCCCAAAAAACGTCGTGGCACAAAATTTTATTGACATTTGAGATGAAAATGCGCGAATTATTTACATAACTGTCCCAAGAAGGTTGGAAACCTTGTCGGTAAATTTCATAACATATTGCCCAATTGCATTTATACTTGTTTTACTTTATGATGATTTTCACTGTTTTATATTGAAGGCTAGTTTGTGTGGCAAATGTTATACAAAGCAAATTAAAACATTAATTTCCTACACAATTTATTTTATCGTCTATTTAAACAACAGTTATTCTATTTTATTAACTAGATCCTTTTACATTTTATTCTACTGCAACATTAACAGCGCACCAATCTCTTTCTCTGCTAAAGGATGTTATATTACTTAATTTTTAAATAAGTATTTTGTTTGACCCCAAAAAAGGCTGGGGGCCAGGGAGTCTTGAAATAAGTATTTCTTGGGGGGAATTCCATGGCCACCGGCCACCTTCAATTTTATTTTATGCAGAAAAATATGGAGGCCCAATTTATATTCATTTTCAAAATCTCTTCAATTCCAGTTTATTATTGTATATTTTAAAACTCTAAGTTCAATGACATAAAAAAATTACGTTGTTAACATGAAAAAATCTTATTTTTTATTTTTTAGAAATAAAAGAAGCAGCCATTTTTAAATGGTTTTCAAAAATGTTATTTGGGGATTTGTTTGTTCTTCTTAATCTTCAAGAAAAAAAGCAAGGATTGACAGTCTGAATATTAAAACGAAAGTTTACGATTTCAGAGGATTTTAGAAAATAAAACTAGATCAAGAAACTGCTTGACATATAGCAAATCATAATTACGGACATTTCCGGAAATTTTTCATTATTTCGCAACATCCCATATTTCCGGGAAAATCCACAAGTTTCCAAATTAAGAGAAAAATTGTTTCAAAAAGGTCTAGAATTTCGGAATGTTTTCGAAAAGAAAATTTAAAGAATTGCCGGGTCTTTTTCGTTCGCAAATCTGTGTCTAAGGCGGCAAGATTAGAAGAAGAAATATTTGGAGGCGAATTATCTAAACACCATTAGGGAAAAGAAATAGTTTAGAGGATGGGGAAGGGGGGTCCTTAGAATATAAGAGGGGNACGACATGTTATTCGGTATGAGACGTCTTTAACAATTTTCTCCTTATAGACGCAACAGATGGAAGTAAGATTAGAGGCGATCAAAAGCGCTTTTTTATCGCATTAAGCCTATACCCCCTTTCATTTTTCGCGAACACTCCCTTTAAAATAATGATTTCCTGCTTAACTGCAGTAAACTTGTTTTTTTATTGCCAAATCATTAAACAAGAAATTCAAAGACCACATTCAAGGCAGACCACTTAATTCAACCTTAAGATTGTCATAATATGTTTCAGTCTCATCCTTTGTGGGTAACCCTGTATGAACTCTCCCCTCTCTCTAGTATATGGTTTGAATATCAGAATAGTATTGTTTGGGGAGGTTGGGGGTAGAGCAGGACCCTAGGGATTGGCTTGGTTTGGTTCATGGTAATAAGCAATATATTGTGCAACACTATACATACTCTATACAAGCAGCTCAGAAAATATATAAATATTGCAAAGAAAAAATGAGATTTTGAAAATGTATCTATTTTGGACAAGGAACACCTTAAAGCTGAACTGTAAGCATAACTTCATGTGACCCTCCGTGCACATACCGACTTGAAACCTGTATCTGATCAAAATGGGGAAGATATTGCCGGTTTTCCTGGTTAAAAGTGTATAATTCCGAAAATGCATACATGTTTTCCTGTAGTTAAATGCGCAAGTAAATTTTGCAGCACCATGCAATTATAGATAATCCGCTTTCAAAACTATAAACATTGATATCTAATATCAATGTTCGGTGCAAGTAAGCTTATAATTTAAAAAAAATAATATAATTAAAACAAAGTCAAACACAAACGATAATGCTCAAAATAAAAAACCTTTGTTTTTTACCACTCTGCTCCCATCTATTTGAACTATTACTTCGAACTAACTTTGCTTGTCTTTCTGTTTTTTTGTCTGTTAGTAAAATTTCCAAAATTAACCTTCAACAAAATAAGATTTTCATAAAATTTTATTATATTGATTAAAATGCAGACCACGCATTCGGGAGGTCGATTTTCCATTTTTTAAAACATTTTAACCTGGGTATTTCAAAATTGCTATGATAACCAGAAAACTCTTATATAGAAAGACGACTTTCAGAATCAAGTTAAAACTTAAAAAGTTCAATTAGCATCAAACACGGCAATTGAGCAGTGTAAACAAACCCATTTCACTAAATTAGTGATTTAATGATGTCTCCTAGAACTACAGGGTATCCCTGACGAATGACAGTTAATGAATGGTTTAAAATGTCTTCTTCCATAATTTGTTAGGTTGTTTGATACCAAAGAGAATAATAAAAAATATTGCATGGGAGTAAAATTTATGTCAAAGTAAAATATATTTGAATAAAAGATTTTTCAAACAATATAAACAACAAAAAGTCTTCAATATCTAATATAGTATATGGAAGAACACATTCAAAACTATTCACCAACTGTCATGTTTCGTGGGACACCCTCTATTTGCTTTGTAACAACATCAATTAAACTTAAAGGGACAGACCGGCTATCTAGGGTAGTTAAACTGAGTATGCAGTGTTGTGGACAATGAATCCTAATGAATTTGCCCACAGCACTGCATACTCAGTTCAACTACCTTACATAGCCGGTATATATCCCTTTAAACATTACTTAATGTCGTATTCCTATTTCACAATTTTTTGGGGGTTCTTACTGTATAATCCGCTGAGAAATATATTTCAGAACATGCAGGTTTTTGTTATTAAATTACGTTAATTGTGATTTGATCTACATGCACAAAAAAAGCTTAATTCTAAATGATTTTGAAAAATATATAAAAAATCCCAAATTTTCATTAAATTTTATACCAAATTAAAAAGAAAAATGTGGATTTAATGTCGTCTTCGTTTAAAACTATTAAGAAAAAGAAGACGACTTTCCCTCGGCGGTTTACCACCGAACACGGTTGTACATATAAGATTAGTTACTCTTGATGCGATCAAATTGCACGAAAAATATGTCTCCTAAGATACCCAATGACGTCATATTAGGTATTTATCTATCTATCTCCGTTCATTGGAGCGCATCTCGAGAGGAACTAAACTTGTTAACCTTGCCAACGAACTGAAGGAATTCTGACGCTGAGCAGGGGCGTATAAAGGAAATCGTCCAGAGAGTATGCTTAGTATCTTTTCATTTTTATACGCCTGTACACTCTGACCCCATAAAATAAAACTGGAAATTTTTATTAGAAATATAATTTTATGAGACACTACTTATATTATGGCAATTTCTCTACAATTCAAAACAGTTGATCGAAAGCTTTAATGACGACACTATCAGAGAAAATAACTGAACATACTCTAAATTTAACCATCATAATTCCTTCATATAATATCAGGGGAATCAGGGAAAGCTAATGGAAAACAAAGGAAATTTAAAAACTTTCAATGGAAGACGACTTTCATTTACAGCTTTACGAGTAACTACAAAATCCAAAATTCCAAAATTTGTTAAGTTGTTTGATACCAAAGAGAATAATACAAAATATTATATGGATTTCACATAATTTTCCACCACCGCTCAGTCTTATTTCTACTTAAAAAAAAAATAACAAAAAATCTCCACTGCGTCAGATTTTATTCAAATCTTAACAATTTTTCATGATTACAATATAAACTGGTGGTGCTCATTTTCAAATCAAATATTTCTTTTTAAATTATTTCAAACCCTTCTCTTCGATACATACATAATATAAGGTATAGCTATTTTTTAGAATTTTTTTTTTTGAATTTTTTAAATATTTTTTAAACACACAAATATGAAGCCTGAAAAGTCTCAAATATCCAAATCTTTCATTCGTATTCAGCTATACCAGTATACATGGATACATGGTTACAATCCTGCGGCTGAAAGTGTAAAAATCGAATCCAAGGATACAAAATCCAATTAAAGATACAAAATCGAATCCAAGGATACAAAAATTCAATTTAGGATTCAGGATATCAAATATAGCATAGCACACACTAAGTTTCCTGCACATGATCAACAATCTAGAATTATCAATATTAATCAGTGATTGATCACTCATCTCTAAGATACTTGATTGATTGATTAAGTGCGAGGAATTGATCAATTTTCAAAAAATAATTAAACCGTCAAGAATTGGTTAAAACTATGGCGAATTTAAACATTAAATGGGGTTGGGCTCATCCGTGACTAAGCTTTTTTTTGTAGATTTTTTCATTTAATTTTAAAAAAATTAGTTTTATTTTTGGTGATTAAATAAGTTTATATGTTATGAGTGAACATGTAGTCACAGATGATTCCACATCAAATTACGAATTTTCAACATGCTTTTGATTAAATAGACATAAATCCACTAAAATTATTTTAATGCTATTCTGTGCTCTGGCTACTGCTATGAGATATCTTTTTAGAAAATCATTATTTTGTCAGATATTCGTTTAATCTTTGAAATTGTATAAACAGGATGATAGGTTGCTAGAATTCTGCTGCCATGAGAGAGAAGGTTTGGTCTCAAATTGATCTTCAAAAACTTTTTATTTAATAAATTCGGCAGATTTCGTTGGTTCTTTAATTTTTCTTAGGTTTTAACGTGAGCAACAACAACAACTGCTGGACTTAAAACCAGTTTTATTTCTACCGGAAACAAAATACTGGACTTAAAGACAGTTTTATTTCTCCCGAAACAAACAGCTTGCCCCTCTTAGATCCAGTTTCAGGAGGCCTAGGGGAGAAAAAAAGCCGTTTACTATAAAAAATGGCACTGGTGGGCTTCTCTTCCCCTGGGTCCTTCTGATAGTATATATGGGATAGTAGAAAAATATACAAGATATCTCAATATATCACGTCAAAGTATCACCGTTTTTATAGATTTAAATATTCATAACAATCATCTTTATAGAACTCAGTAGAGGAACGTTTTGTACTGAAACAGGTTCCATAGTGCACCGAGTACATGTATCTGTACACCGAGTACATAGATATATGCACGGAGTACATGTACTTCAGTTGTCAAGAACCGTACATAAGATTAGGTACATAGCGAGCACAGGGTAGCAGCTGTATAACTCTCACAGTTGTACAGATTCAGCATTAGCTGTCTGTCACCGGGGAAGCTGTTACTCGTAGAAGCAACAGCTGTTAAGCTGTCGGCGAATCTGTTACTCTGACAGCTACACAGCAAACACGAGAAGTTAACTGCTTACTGAAATATAAGATTCAATTAGAAATTTATGAAGATTCAAGGGAAAGTTGTTAAAATTGCACGCGAACTTCAAATTAAAGAGGTAATGGCATACACTTTTCACAATGGTATCCGTTAATCTTTTATTATTACTGTAAAAGATAACGTATTTTTGTCAAGCGTTTAATTCTGATAATTTTCAGCATAATTTCTTCAGTTGAAATCCGCAAACCACTTCATAGAGAAGCCATAATTGAATAAAAATAATCAATTTTCATTGAAAAAAGAAATACATGGATATCTCATTTATTATTGATCAGATAATGGTTTTAACGGTACGGTTGTCAATAAGACTAATCTAAAAATGTTGATTTTGATGATATTTAATATTGGTCTATCATTTGTATAATGCTCTGTGATGAGAATCTAAAGAAACTTTGTAGTTCTACGTATATTTTTAAAACTTTAATATGACATTTTCATAATTGTTTTTCTGGCTACGCAATTAAGGTTAAATTCTATTATATCAAATGCATTATTTTTTTTGTTTTTATGATAAACGAGAATTTTTTGATATAATATTTTTAAATTATCAAAACTAGGAATTTAGCTCGATTTTTTTTAGAATTTAGGATATTGAAGCCACTGGAATATATCTGAAAAAATAATATATAATATTGTAATGTAATGATAATATAACAAAATAATATTTAATAGTATAGTGTAATCAAAGGTTCCTCAACGTTTTTTTTTTTGGTTTCAGGTCAGGTTAAAAGCAAAAGTAGCGGATTTTCAAATTATGACAGTAAATATGGAATTTTTGGCTAAAATGAGTATTTTTACTGTTGGTTTATATTTGTTCTCTAAATTGCAGATTTTTCTCACAAATTGACAGAATTTTGCTGAAAATTCCAGTTGTTTTCCAAACCTCAAAGTGGCAGGACAGATGGGTAAACTGATCCGAATCCTGATGTAAACATACAGGGGGTGCCTCACCCCCCTGGAGGATCACAGGAAGGGGCGACCACATGGTGCCCCTCCCCCCCCCCCACCCAGTTAGTTAAAATATGAGAATTTATTTAGAACTAAATATCAAAAACTAAATTACAAGATCCTGAGAAAGGGTTTCAGATAAAAATAATTTAAAGGGAGTGTAAGCATAATTTCAAATGACCCTCCATGCAAAAATGACGGTGCCTGATTTACAACGGTGCCATTGAAACCGTTATCTGATCAAAAATGTGGAAGATACCGTCGTTTTTCTTACTAGGAAAAGTTTTTAAATCTGATAATTTTTAGATTGTTTCACATAAGCAAAAATTGCGCAGGTCACTTTTACAGAGAAACCAAAATGTAAATGAACAGTTGATATGAACAAAATCATATATAATTCAAACTTGACCAGACAAATCTGTTAAGGGTACCGTTTTAATTTAGACATTGTCATCTTTGCACATAGCAGGCCGCTTCAAACTACGCTTACAATCCCTTTATTTACCTCCTCGTATCTCTGGTTACGGGGTGAGGATGGGGCTCGTTTATCTCCGCCCCCGCCCCGACCTCCAGACCCATGGCTTGGACTTGTTCCTACCCATCCTCGAGCCTGACCACCTGCTCCGCCCTGGGATCCGCCCCAACCGTCATATCCGCCCATCCAGGAAGACTGTCCACCCCGACCGCCTTGCCAGTTCTGAGCTCCACCACTTCCCTCAGTCCATCCGCCCCAGTTGTGCCAGTCATAGTTGCCACGGCCTCCACCACGCCCCCGACCTCCGCCACGGCCCAGGTAGATACCAGGGAGATGACCGTAAGGGTAGGCGGGGAAGGGAGGGAACGCCATACTAAAATAAATCTAATATTAGCAACTACTTACTAATTTCCCCCTCCCCCCATTTCACTTAGGGAAAAAATAGAATGAACCTAGTGAAGCCTTGAAACTATTTGCTACAGTTGATTTCAGACCTAAAAATGTACTAAATTCCTACAATTTTTAACAATTTTTTCAAATTCCCAAGGATAAATTTTCTGAAAATTGAGATTACAACTCAGAAGACTAAATGTTAACATATTGTTAACTTAAAAACCTAAAAATTATTTATTTCTGAAAAGTAAGAGGGTGAAAATACTAATTTTCCGCTCAAAAGTTTCAAAATTTTAAGATTTATTCTTATCTAACTTTACGGCAAACAAATTACTATTCTCCAAAAAAATCTTCACTCCCCTCAGATAATAACCCAATGGTGCTCCTAACAATCGCTATATGGTGAAAAAATAAAAACCTTGACTAGTTGAGGTTAAAAATCTAAAAATGAAGAATAACGAAGACAATGAAATCAATGTTGAAAAGATACAAAAAAAATTGAAAATTAAAAACATTAAATACTAATAACCCAACCTTTCTTTAACAAAAATTTGATAAAAAAATCTTTTCGTTTTTATTTTGATTCGGATACGGAAAAAGTTTGAAAATATTTCTTTTTTTTTTGTTGAAACTTATTTGACTTAAAAGATGTTATTAGTTCATTCACATTCGTCAATACTTAAGATTTGCAAAAAACGTCTTTAATAGATTTGAGTCAATTTTGATCCAGAGAATCACAATATTGTGGATCCAAAATCAGGGAACCACAATATTACGGATCCGGATATAAGCAATCATAATATTGCAGGTCAGGATTACAATATTGCGGATCCGGATATCGGGAATCATAATATTGGGGATCAGGATCACAATATTGCGGATCCGGATAAAGGTAATCATAGTATTGCGAATCAGGATCACAATATTCCGGATCAAGAAAGGCACAATATTATAGATCCGGATTCAGGGAACTACAATAGTGTGGATCCGGATCCTAAGCACTGTATTTAAATAAATAGTAAATATAAAAAGCAACAATTTTACCTAGAAGTAAATAAAATCATGTAAAGAAAGAAACATCTGTTAAAAATTAAACTTCTCATGCAAAATCGGAACACTTTTAACTTCCATGCAACAATTTGTTTAATACTTCCACATTTTTAGTAAATCCGGGGGGGGTGGGGGGTAATGCATATTTAAGATTAAAAGAGTGAAATCTGAGCTGGGAAAAGTTAATGCACCGAAATGCATTTCTCAGAATAAGGGAGTGGGGTAGATTCAACAGTTTCAATAGTTTAAGGAACAGAAGTTATTTAGTTAGGGTTAAAGGGACTGT